GATGTCTCTTATTTTCTCCATTAGTTTTATCTTTCAGTGAGAACTATTTGTATTATTTTCTCATGCGGTTCTGCAATTAAAATTATTGTAATTAATTAGAATAGCTAATGTGCTTGGTCCAGGCACTGTTTTAAGTTGTTTATAAATCTGTGAGTATTTAAATCATCAACTGTGTGAGGTAGGTGCTGTTATTGTCTCATTTTTTACCTTACCTGGCTCCTTACAGATAAGGAGATTGAAGCATGGACAAGTTAGATAACTTGCCCAAGGCCATCCAGCTTGTAAATGGAGGTAGTGGAATTTGAACCTTGACTGCCTGAGGTAAATCCCATGCTGTGGTCACTGTGCTATAGAAATTTCCTATTAAATGTTATTGTAGTGAAATAACATTTGTGAGATTTTCCCCCCACTTTTTTTAGTTAGCCCTCCTGAAATTTATTTTGGAGAGAGGTCTAAATTTAGTTTGGATAGAAATCCACACATAATTTAAAAAAGAAATTCTTGTGATGAAATCATGCGTTCCAAGGCAGTATTACATTTTTTTTTTTCACATGTGTGATTATTGAAATATTTGCCCTAGGAACGTGAATTTTTTCAGGAGAAATGTTTTTTTTCATGTATCTTCAGCCCCTAGTGTACGGTGAGCCCTCCAGGAAAATGACAATGAAGCTCTTCAGTTGTCAGTGTTCAGTAAATATACATTGATTGTAATGTACCCAAGAAGTGAACACCCTTGAAAAGGTCAGTGACATAATGTCAGATGAAAAGATAGTTTTAAAAAGGAACAAATATTGAATTTAATAGAAATATAATATGTTTTTTTTTTCTCTTCCTTTTTTTTCTTGAAATCCCCAACTCTCCAAGACTGGGTTAGAAGCCTCTTCTGTGTGTTCCTGTGGCACCCAGCGTCTACTCCTGTGATGAGACTTGCCACACTGTATTCTCATTGCTTGTTCACTTGGCTCTATCTCCCAGGAGATTATTAAGTTTCCTGAAAGACAAGCATTTTGTTCTGCTCAACAGTGTGTTCCCAGAGCTCACCACACTTGTCCTAAAACAGGAGCTCAGCAATACTGTATAGTTAAAAGGATGAGTTGCAGCCTTATCTTGTTATGATATACTGAACTGGGATTTAACAAACTGGGTACATTGGTCTCAGTTTTTTGATGTTTATTAAATTAAAAACAACCTCTGAAAAATTTTGTGCTTGTTAGCTAACTTTATTTCAGCACCCAATTAATGGTCAGAGGCTTAGTGGCCACAGCCTTAATCCTGACCTCACAATTTGAGATCTTTAGAATGATAGAATCATAGAATTTTCTATTTCATAACTGCTCTGTCCCATACATAGCTACTAGTCACCAAGGTTAAATTTAAAATAATAATAAAATAAAAAATTAAGTTCCTCAATAGCATTAGTTACATTTCAAGTGCTCAGTAGCCACATGGACAGCACTGATATAGACATTTCCATAATTGCAGAAAATTCTGCTGGACAAAGTTGATAAGCTATCCAAAAAATAGGTAAGGGAGCATAGTTTTATTAGCTTAAATATATCACTATTACTAAAAAATATTTCAGATTGCTTAGCAATTCTTTTACATACAAAGAATATCACATTCATATTTCAGATGTTTGTTATTTCATATGGCGTAAAGTTTTTTCTTTAAAAGTTGTGTTTAATGTGCATTTAAACATTTTTCCATTTAAAAATAATCAACTTGAGTCACTGCACAAATTTGACATTCATTAGATTCGGCTGTGCATTTTAAGCTCGCATGATTGAGAAACTAAAATACTCAGTAATGTTAGTAAAGGACAAATGCCAGATAGTTTTGGACTGACCACATATATATTTAATGACATCACACATGCAATACAGACAATTCTTAATTTACAAATGCTCTATTCAGAAGCAGCCAAAATATAAAACATACTGTTGTACCTTCTTTAAATTTCTCCGAACAGTATCACCAAGGTAGCCATTGTACAAACAAATTAGTAAATCAAAAACATTAATAAAAATAAATCTTGGAATTCTTAGAGAATGTATAGCTTGAGTTGTGAGGCAAAAAAGACACTGCGAAAAACCCTGGGGAATTAGTAGAGGTTATTTCCATAGTGGAGCACATTTGCTTAAGTGGTAACCCCCTGACAAAAATAGTCTAGTTCTACCTTTCCCCACCAAGCCCCACCCTCTCCTTGCTGAGTATCTTTTCTATTCCCCCAGTGTTTAAAAATTCTTGAATTTCATTTTTACTCCAGTTTCAGTTCTATCAATTCAAAGTTTTGTGTCCTTGGGCAAGTTTGTTAGCTTCTCTGAGCTTCAGTTTTCTAAACTCTAAAATAGGAATAATAACATGTTAATTGTCAGAATTAAAGAGAAATTTATTTGAAAATATAGATTACAAAACTAATAGAAAAACAGGGTTATGATTATGTATATTAATAAAATTCAAAAGATCCCCCCTCCCCAAGATTAGATGGTCGTCAGTCTTGTACATGTGATGGGAGTCTGGTTCATCAGAATATTTAAGCCAGTTGATGGTTTGAAGATTCTTGGTGGGGTGGGGGATAGGTGTTCTGGGAGATGGAAGAGAGATTTAAAAAAGGAGATGAAAGGCTGTGAAAGAAAATAGTTGAAAATTTGGGAGGAGGTTAGGTAAATACCACCTTTTCCTTTAAGGGGTGAATGTAATTGCTTGCATTTTCTCTTAGTTTCCTTCTTTTTCATTGATTATTCCTAAGGCTAAAGTTTCTGCTTTACATTCTGAGTCATCTGACATAGCATGTTTTTAAAAACTTAGTGTTGCTTACTTTGATTTTCCAGTAGTCTTTTGCTGATGGAGCTTCTGTGAAGGGCAAATTCAAAGAACAGTTGGCTGCCACAGCACAGGGGCAGCTATACCTTTAGCCTTGGGAGAAGCAGTGCCAGTCATAGACACTTGCTGGCCTAAGGCAGAGGCAGCAGTAGTTAAAACAGACCAAATCCAACCAAACCAAGCAAACACAAACAAAAATGATGGAGGTCAGGGAATGTTGGATGAGAGAGAGGGGAAGAGGGGGAGAGAGAGAAGGAAAATGGGAGTAGAAATGGGTGAAGAGGAAGGGAAGGACACCAAAGGAAGATGGATAACATCATAGTTCTAAGTACAGTACATGTATTGAACTCATTTAATTCTCATGACAGCCCTATGAAGTAACACTATTATTATTATCACCATTTGATAAATGAGGCAACTGAGGCATAGAGATGTTGAGCACCTCTTCTCAATGTCACACAGCTTCTAAGTGGTAGGAGTGGGACTTGAACTCAGCCATTCTGGCTCTGGAGTTTGTGATCTTGACCACTGCACTAGCAGTTTGCAAACTTTCTAGTCTTAGGACCACCCTCATCCCCTTGTACTTTAAAAAAAATTTTTATTTTTCCCTTGCACTTTTAAAT